CTTATGCAATTCTGAATATATTTCGTGATGGTAGGGATGAAGCTGCAAAAAACGTTTGTAGATGAGGGTTATTGAGAGATCTCACTTCGTATACTTTGATCCTACAAAGAGGCGACTAGGATGTCCCACGTAGATGAGAAGCTCATCTTCCTTATAATCGTTTGTGGCTGATACAGCAAACAACTCAGCTCCCGTAGCCTATTAAACTCTCGGTTTGGCTTGTTCGATATGTATAACTCACTTGTAACTTCTGTCCAGTTGCTTGTACAACATTCCAAAACTCCTGTCCATGTCCATCTGAGATTAACAGAAACACCTTAAAGAACGAGGATTAAACATCTGTATACTAGTACGTGTTAAACATAAAGGGCAAAGCTTCTTGAAACGAATCTTTTCAATCGCTTCTGAAGTGAATGAAGCTTCCACCCCCCCCCCTCCGCTGATAAGAATGAGGTACCGCTTCTACAAGCAGCAGGCTTGCGAGAGGGATGGGGATCGATGGTTATATCATGTAACTATTCACCTGACGGGCATCTAATCGTTTGAATTTATTGATTTGTTCAATAGCCAATTGAACGGCTCCAGCTATACGTGTCTGCTCTCCAGTGAACTTGATGGAGTTGATGATGTCAATAATTTGTTGTCGTGATGTTCCAATAGCGAATGGCTTAATGACATCCGATGTGGAAGCAAACCGTACAATCGATATCTATAGAAAAAGCTATTGCTTAGAATACGTAAACGACCAACTTGTAAATTCTGATTGAAACTGGATGCAGGGAATGAGTGAATCAAATCCAAAGCTATTTGGCGTTGCTCTTGAAAAACACGATAAACACTTCCACTGGTATCAATTACAATTACAAGATCAACCTATAACATCCTGTATACAGCCAGTTCATCAGAGATTCAAATTCAAAAGTGAGCGTGCAAGACAGATAGAACAAGTTTATGCTAATTAGGCTTTTCATTCCGTGAACACCAACGGCGAACGATGGCATAAAAAGTGGAAGTGAAAGTGTGTTTGCGGAATCTCGTTGTCCACACGCTTGATGACATAACCGTCATAACAGAATAGAAAGCAAACCTTTTCATAGAGGCATTCCTGATTATCTTGGAAAAGCTTGTCGTCAACGTGAACTGTTGGAGAGGCAAAGGCTCGGACTGTTTTACGTATCAATGATGAAGCTTGAATGAGCTCCTTGTATGGGTTGCAATACCCTAGATAGTCATCAATCGATAAATAGAATAAGTTGATGTCATTAGGAGATATTAGGATGTTCTTTCGATAGCCAGTGTATCCAATCAAGGCATAGTGATTGGAATCGATTTTACCGGAAATCGCAAAAATTTGAATTTTCATGAAATTCAAAAAATGACTGAAAAGAAGAATGAAGAGAGTTTCAGGATTTAAGCTTACGAAGCCTTAACAGTCTCAGCTACGTGGTCTGTGTTCTCTCCGTCATGAACCAAGATGATGATTTTGCGACTCAACTCTTGACCAAACTGAATGAACACTTTGCTAGATGGAAATCAGAGGGTGAAACCTTTTCGAATTGCTTCGAAGCTTGATTGAAAGCTTTGGCTACCGAGCTGTTGGAGGTGCTCTCAGGCTGGAGATGCCGAACAAACTGTGTTATCTTCAATTCAAACTAATATTAAGCATTTGTCTTCTCTCTACTAACTCTTTGGAAGTCTCGATTGTGAGTCGATTCTAAACCAGAGACTACCACAGCTTCTTCATGGAACATGATCAAAGAGATGTGTGCTTCTCGTTCATTCAAGTTATCTTCGATATGTCTGAACGGTATGAGTCAGATGAGCTTTGAATGATTATAAGATAGCAAGTTCTCACTCAATGGTTCGTATAAGACGTTTCTTCTGAATGTTGAAGATGGTTTGATTACTTGCAGTTGTATCCAATAAAACAACAATATCTATTTTATCTTTTGAATTCTTACAATCGTCTTCTGTAATGAGAGTATAGGCTTGACGTGAACGTCTTCTAGACTATACCATCTGTGAATGTTGATATGAGGGGTAATACTATGATACATGTTAATAATATGCTTCGACAAATCTGGAAAGGAAGCATTTCACTTACGGAAAATGAACTTTGAAGATTCTGGTTTGACGTGAGCTTTCACTTGTCAATTACACTTTGCTTACCTGCCCATGCCACCCCATGTTGGCAATACTGTCTGTAATGAACATGCTTATTAAGGTGTATGGTAACAAAGACATTGAAGGAGAGAGAGAGATACAGAGAGTTAAGATGAAAAGGATAACTCTTGAATTCATATTGTATGAGGATGATCGAGAAGAAGCTATGTGAGAAAGTATGAAAATCCTTTTAAGGCCTGAGGCAATCAAATGTAATTCAATGGCTTCACACGTGGTCAGTCAGCCGCGAAACATCTACAGATTGACAAGTTTTTGTGATTCGTTCCTCGTTTTGTATAAAATAAAAGCAATTGTGCGAATGTTTTAAGAAAGTTTTATGAAGAAAAGATTGGATGAAATAAAAAAAGCTGACAAATGAGAGTACAAGAAGTGCGTCTTAGATTGGAATGATTTTTCAATTAAAACAGCATGGCCAAGGTACTATGTGAATGCTTGTCTGAAGAATAGTAAATGAGAGGTTTGCAAACACAGTCACATCTGACATTTCTGCAGATGGAAAGAGGATAGGATATTCCTTTTATGGATAAATGATCGAATGTGAAGCCGATGACGATGATGACTAGGAAGCCGACAACGACGACGACAGCTATGAAGGTGACGTCGTTAAGTTCTGATGGGTTGCAAATTGAAAAAAGTAAACACAAAATCTTCATGAACTTCTGAAAGCCGACGGAATCATTTGAATTTCTAATGATTTGACGATGCAAAAAAATGTTCTGAATGGACGGAAGATGTTTGATGAACAATGGATTTCAACAGTTCCTCCAGGGCGTCTTGGTCTTCTTCGTTTTTACAATCTCCACCCTCCCTCTCTTCCTCCCTCTTTCCGCCCTTTTTGCTTTCATCTGCTTTTCAAACATGGAGTCATCTTGTTGTATTTGCTTCGTCCTTTTACATCTTCATTCTCATAACTGTCAGAAACAGTGTGCCTCAGGCTATGTCTCTTCGTATGTTTTGGACGAGATGAAGGAATGAAAAGACAATTACAGAATGGGATAGAACAGAGATTAGTGCGAAAGAACAAGTTTGAACTGACCAACCATCGGAATGGTTCATCTACTACTCTCTTCCTCTCTTTCTCTCTCTCTCTCTCTATAACTATCTCTATCTCTTTCTAGCACTTCTACTATTCATCATCTTTTCATTATATTAATTGTCGAACTTGTGATTATGGAAGAAAAAGAGACGATCAGGGAAGCTCTTATCCTCTCATCGTAACGAGGAAAAACGAAAAGAAAGAAACTTGTTAAAATCTTTTTGTTAGTTCAGGTAAACTTGGAAAGGAACGACGAACATCAAAAGAAGAATCAAACAGAAGAAAAGAGGAACAGAAGATATGAAGGAGCTGAAAGGTTTTGATGACTTTGTCAAGGAGGAAGCTACTAAAAGCCTAATGAGAGAGAATGTGACTAATGAGGTGGAGTAGGGAGGATGTTGTATCAAACAGCTTCCAGAATATATCATAAGAATACAAAAGCAAGAAATAACAAAAAGAAGAAATGGAAGAGACCTATGTTGAACAACATTCGACATCAGTCTCCACGGGGGTCAATGTGGGTAATGTTAATATCCGTAACTTTATCCTTTCGTTCGAAATGATATAGAGATAACTAGTATAGCTCATGAATCTCAAATCCGGGAGAACACATGTTATCCGATCTTTATTGGGATTTAATTAGCAAATCTGAACAAATTCAGTTAAATGCAACTTTCAGTTCTGTAGCTGCCGGGTAACTATGACATGAGCTCCCATGCCGCCTGGAATGAGAACCTTAGCTGAAACAGTTCTTATCAAACGAATCTGAATAGATTAACATTCCTTTCGTCTTTCCTGTTATTACATACTTTCAGGAATTCTTCTGTTCTTATAACATACTTCTAAACATAATGAAATATGTTTTAGTTTGTTTTAGTAATTCCACATTACTTATTGTCTTATCCATTATCAGTTCTGGGAATTAGGCTTACACAAGGCCTCTATACTTCTCTAATTAAGTCTCATAAAAACTGGTTGAAATCCTCAAATCATCTCCTTTTACGGTATATTTACTTTAACTTCTCATGAATGGTTAGTTTCAAAGTTTGTTAACACCAACGGGTTTCAAATAGAAGACTTGAATATCAAGGACATTCAGTCTGAACCTTTACCAGCTGCTCCCTTTTAGGAGCCTGTCATGTTTATAGCGAATCTACTACTAACCATATCTCAAATACATCTAAACTAAACGCTTCTGGGATCTGCATGTGTTTCATGAACCAGGAGGAAGACGAATTCTTAGACTTACTCTGTCTTATAGCTCGATTGCAAGCTCATTCCTCCAGTGATGTTTTCCTCACACCCTAATGAATCAACGAACCCATATGTTTGCTATGTTGCAAGTAGTAGTGATTTAGAAGTTTCGAAAATTCATATATATTCGTTGAAACATAAATCTGTGACAGACTGCTTATCCCTTGAGAGCTTGCTAACAATGATCTGATCCAGAGTTGTAACTGAGTACAATGGAAGCCTGTCAACTATGGATAGACCATTGTTTAAGATATGCCCAACTGGGATTCTTCAGTTGAAAGGTGGGCGAAGAGGAGAAGTGTTCTACTTCGCATTATTAATACAACACAACAATTGAATATATAACAATGATTTAATCTCTTTTCAGTATATAAATATGTCACAAGGGCTTTGGATTCATCTTTGCCTCAGCAGAACAATCTCTGATTAATAGTTCAACAATAAAAAAATTAATAAATTATATAAAAATGCTATGAGTAAGTAGCTGAGATTTCATCTCAGTTCGAGTAACAATAAATAAAACTTTTCAATCATCTGAATCACTGTCGTAGACTACAGAAACTACAAGATTCTCCATCGCTTTACCTAAGTCATCTACAGTCGCCAAAAGTGATTGCATTCGTGTACTCCTGATTTCAGGATCCTAAGCAATAGATCGTTTTATAAGAAATCAAATAATGTATAACATACCTCCCATCGCGAAGGATCGATGTCCGTTTGACTCTGTCGACCAATCCATTCTCGATCAACACTTGCTGTAGTACGACCAACACTTTCTCGGGTATCCTTCTGCTGGAGAATAAGATATGGGAAGAGCTCACATCAATCATTTTACCTGATGATCAATTACTTTCTTCAACCGTTGTAGTTGGAGTTCTAACTGCTCATTCTGTTGTTCTAAAATTCGGGAACGATGCTCTAAGCGTTGTTTGTGTAGACGGAGAGCTCTAGCTTCGTCCATTATCTACAAGAAGCAATTGTGTTCGATTAGAAAATGCATTACTTACGTCGCCTTGGCTTTGAGCTGTTTTCAGTGTTGGTACACTTCTACCCTGTCTAGCTTGAGCTCCTAACCGTGGCAGAGTGCCAGCTCTGTTTTCACTTCTCCTGCTATCTATTGGACTTGAATAACCACATCTAATAAGGTTATCCGTATAAAAACTGTATAACGATAAACAAACCTATCAATTTGAGGAGTACTGGTTGTAGAAGTTCGTCGACGTTCTAACTCCCTCTTCAGTTCCGAGTTTTCAAGTTGTAGTCGATGCAATAATTGGTCTAATTCATCTTTTTGCATTTGTTCCACCTATAAGAGGAAGAAGTGAGATAGTTCAAGTGTTGAAAGAGAAAATTTTATATTTTTCTAACAAAATACCTCATTATTCTTTTTAGGTTGCAATAGTTTGAATACATTACACATAGAAGGCATAGCGATATAACAACAACTATTGATTTCGGCCGAAAACTGTCAAGGCCTTCTACTCTCCCCTCCCCCCAATCAGGTTCAACACTCTCATTCAATACTTTCACCTTCCGCAATCGTGTATTGTATAAGGAATGATCCTATGTCATATGTTCTCTCTTTTTATAACAAGAATTTTCCGCTTTGTTTCACATACTGCCCTTTTCACATAATCAATTTAACACAATCGAATCTAACCTGACTGATAAGTTGAGCAGGACTCTTCAAGTCTACTACAGCCATTTCTTCTCGAGGCTCTGCTTGCTGGCTCGCTGTCAAAACAGCTAATCTTTGAGCCAGTGCAGCAGTCCTCTGATGGATTTGATATGTTGAGGGATTGTGAGCTGGGTGGGGAGCTGCACACAGTGGCTGACCTTCGTCTCCCATCTAATTGATTCGATTAAAATATATAGCTTATTATGAGATATTACGTCTACAGGAAGATATCCTAAAGTACTCTTTGAGCGACTGAACTTGTTCTTAACCATCTTAGCAAAATCACGAGCATCTTCAGAGGAGGTTGTCTGAAATGGATTTTAAAAATCGGCATGTTCAAAGAGTATCATACCGGCATCGCATACTCTTGCATAGGATGTTTGAGTTTGTGTTTCTTAGCTATCCTCTGGCTGAAGAAGCAGTTCTGACAGAGATCGAGATTGAAACAACGTAAACAACGATAACGTAATCCAACAATGGGGAACATTTTGCAAACATTGCACTTTGCCTAAACAAGGTATTCAGTTCATCACCCCATGATCTTTCGATTCAAACCGAATGTTTTGCGAATTCAGCTGCTGCCAATCGATGCATTACTGGAAGCCAAACGATTGATTGTGGTTCTTGCTTCAGCCATTCCAGGAACGAAGATACATTGATGGAAGATGCCAGACGGACAGTTCCAAAACAAGAACGAACCGAAGGTTCCACATTTGACCCACCGAAAGCGGCAGCTTCACCTACTAATCGAGGAATCTGAATCCAGAAGTTAAAAGAAGAAAATATAAATGTTAACTACGTGTATGAGATCATACAAAAGCAAGGCGATGTGTTTTTGATCGGCTTGTCCTTCTTGAGCTACCAAGTCGAAAATATCTGGAATGAACACCATTGATAGAATCCCCCTCAATCACATCCTTACATCTGTACTTCTCTTCTAGAGGAGTATTACAAAAAACTATCAGAGCTATTTTGAAAGAGAGAACGCGTAGTATACCATCACGAGAGCTGAAAAGACAACATCAGTTGTGTCCGTTTCCCGGAAGTCGCTTACGGATCAAATAAGTTTAAAAGGAAATTGATGCATAGATCAACTGCCAAGGAAACACTTCTCAATTGATTCGGATGCTGAAAGTTCAGTTTGGTAAATGATTTCAACCGTTTTACTATACTTTGGAGTGAACTTCTTCGAACAGAGGCAATAATGTACAGACCATTCCTTCGAGAGCAGGGCTCTCTTCATTTGAAAGACCACCAAGCCGAGGAAAAACCTAAAAGCAATACGATCATATACATCTGAACTAATCGTAGACGTACTTTCTCCAGCATACCGATATCCACCAAGTCCATACATAAACGCTTTTGTAAAGCTCTTAACTTCATAGCCGTGCGGTATGCGATGAACTTCACTCTATTGAACTGTGTCAACTCTTTAGCCATTTCCACCCAAACTGGGTGTTCCCATTGTGTTTTCTCGGTAGTGTGGCTGGAAATGAAATCGTTTTCCGTTTTGAAGAAAGGAACTCACTCAATGTAATACGGAAGTTGATTTGTCTTAGAGATAGCTCTTTGCCAAGGAGCAGCAACACTTTGGTTCAAGAAATGCTCAGACGAAGGACCGAAGTCGGTTAAGGCATTCCGAAGAGCAGCCATACGCACTCTCATATTAGTTCTGATGGCAACAAATCTGAAAATTTAGTTTAACCCAGAGAGTCATGGAGCAAATATGGACCTCTGATTCACAGCGTCAAGCTGATTTCGTGGATGCTGATCCAGCTGAAGGTCAGCTGCTAAGATTTTCCCGCAAGCATCGTTTGCATCATCAATATGAATGCGTAATCCATCAATTTTGGCCATAACGCCCTCTGATTCTACCCGCGCGTCTTTCAATTCTTCCAATCGTAATTGCTCAACGGCTGGCATCTTCTCAATCTCAGCCTCGACAGAGCTAAAATAAGAAATATATTGGAAACACAACAGGATTAAGCAGATGGCATTACTCGATTGAGTTTACAAACTTTAGTCAAAGCAATTGCCCAAGATAGTAAAAAGAAACAAAACGGAAGTGCGAACCTTAAATGAAGTTGACATTCAGCCAAGCAACTTTCTAGCTCTTGTAGCCTCTGAGCGGCTTGGAACACAACTTTCTGCCAGTCGCTCAACTGTTTACCAAGCTCGGCCCATTTCTCTCTTAGCTGTTCACAATCTGCATGAATTTGGAACCCTTGTCTTTGTTTTTCTGCGTCAGAGTTGCTTATTCCTACAATAACGGTTGAAAAGTGTCGTGTAAAAAATTCGAACCTAATAATTCCTCATCATCTACTAGTACATTAGGCTTATGCATTTTAGGACGTAGGTCATGCTGCATTAGATATGATTGTGCATTGGCACTCACGTCCCTAACATTCCCAGCTTGATTTTCCATATCACGTTCAAGATTTTTTGCCCAGGTGCTTTGAAGCATTACAGAAGACAAGTTCCCCGCTACAGGCTGTTGAGCAAGTGTCTATAAAAGTAAAATTAGAGTGAAGAAATATAATAAAAAGTAAACCTCTTTGCTCCTTTCTTCAATCCACGATAGCAAACAAGATAAAGAGTGAGTAAGCTTCTCCCATTCTTGTTCAGCAGATTCCAAACGAGCACCGACTATCTTCTCGGTTTCTTTTACTGCTTTCCATACTTCTTCCACATGCGTTAGACGTTCTTCAAGTTGTTTCTTCTCTTGTGCTTGCTCCAAGCCACCCAACACTTTATGTCCCATATCCTGCACAGCGCTTTTCACAGACTCATGTGCATCGAGTTCAGCTTGCAATATCTTGCAAAAGAAACTTTTTAAAAAAGAGTCTCAGAATAAGTAGGAACCTTCTGCTCTTGGGTCCATTCTCTTCTCTTGGAGCTATTCTTGATGGCTTGTGAGTTAGCCGTACCTTGTTCGAGTTTACGTACGTTTTCGACTATACGGTTCAACCATTCTTCAAACTCTTCCAATGCAGATCTGAAATCTACGCGCGATCTCAGAGAAGCATCTAGGAAAGCACGACGAATACGGATACTATAAAAATGGAAATTAAGAAGGTTCTTCACAAAGCAGACATACTTGTCATTGAATTTAGTCCAGCGCATGTTGATTCTACTTTGTTGGTGACTCAGTTTATGCCTATCATCTGATTGAAACTCGTCCAACAGTTTATTGGCCTGAAGATTTATAAAATTATCTTACTCCTTCAATTGCTCATTACCTTTTGATTCAAATTGTCTACAACTTCTCGTTTGAGATCTAATTGACTAATTATATCTTCAATGGCTCTCAATTCCTCCTTCATTGCAACGTCAGACGCTTCTTCCGCTTTCTTAGGTCCAATTAACATTTCAGAGTTATCGAGCCACAGTTCTAATTCTGTTCTCATTATTTCCCATGAGCGTGAAGAGTCATACAGCCGACTGAGTTGTTGACGTCTACGCTCGCAACTTTTATCGATACGTTCCATATCTGATATCTAGAAATAACAAGAATGTAGCAAGAAAATGATCATCTTATCCTACCAGTTCTCTGGCTCTTTGCTTAAGCACCGGAGTTCCTGTACTATCTTGAATTCCAACTACATCCATGGTTTTATGTCGAACATTGTCACTTACAGTCTAAAACTCCAATAACTTACTTAGTTTTGGAAATGAAACTACCTGTACAACGTCAATAGTACTCTTAATTTGATTAAGATCGGACACATCGACGGTTGCATTAGCATCCCGTTCCATCTCAGTGAGCCAATGCCAGAGAGTTGTAAGTAGTTGATTGTAATGTTCATCTTTCGTTGAAAAACGAGGAGCAGTCACAATGCTACTTGTCTTAAAGATCCAACATCAATTCCTTTCATGTCTAGTTATTATACCTGAGAATCTCTGCAAGATGAAAGTGTTCCCACTATTTGAGGCTCATTTTCATCAAACTCTTCCCCAGCTTCTTCGGTAAAGCCTTCGGTCTAAGAAAAAAAAAGTTTTCAATCAGCCTATATCAAAATACCTGACTGGATAGCACACTTGTGTTCCTAGTTATCGTTTGGTCCGTACTTTCGGCATTCAAATCAACTACAGTAGCGAGCGATGAATTCATTGATTCTTCAGTTAAAGAATCGATTTGAGGTAAAGCACTCGCCGAGTCCAAGAAATTGCTAGCTGATTCCAAACTGATTTTTGCCTTCTGAACAGAATCAAAGCATAAAAGTAAAGACTATTTCTTTTCTTACCTTAATTTCTTCTTCAGGTAATGCTATAACTTCTTTTGTGGCAGAGTTTAATTTATCTTTCAGACGCATCAAATCTTTTCTGAGCTTAGCATTGTCCAGTAGGCAGTGTTCAATATTCTCTCTGGATGGAGTATAAATAACAGCTGACTTAATTTCATTTGCTCGTTTGTGCACTTTCTCCGAGTTTTTCAACAACTCATCCAATTCACCCCAGAAAGAGTATGCCATACGGAGATCTTTCTCTAGATCTGCTTGACGATCTGTGAGATCACTTCTTATCTGAAGTAATATATTTTACATTACAAATAAATAAAAATTATGATATAAGAAAAAGAATGCAACCGTTCTGGAACGAAAAAGATAACTCACGTCAGCTAGTCGTTTGGCGATATTACAGGAAAGTCTTCTAAGATCATGCTTTGTGTCTTTGTCCGTTGAGGGTAGTGCTATTATTTGATCTTTCACACTCTCCAAAATAACAAAACTCTTCTTTCTGCAAAAAGTGAAGAATATAGAGAGTAAAAGAAAAAATCAAACTTCTCAGTAAGCTCAGAAAGATTTGTTTTAATAGTTTCGACTTTCTTGTTCAAGCTAAACGAATCCAGACTATTTGGAAGACTCCCAAAATCAGCTGTCTTCTCGTCACACCATTTTTCCATCAATTCTAATTGACTTCGCAGAGAGTTTTCATTCATTAGGAGCTTTTCTTGATAGGATTGCTGACTTTCATCCATAAAAGAGATGAGGCTTCTGAACCGAGCTTCAACATCTCTCACACGTGTCTTCAACGTCTCCGATTTTCCACTTTTCTCGACCATCTGGGGTAAGAGAAGACCAACTCTACCCATCAACGTACAAACAACGCTTTCTGCTGATTTTATAGCCTAAAAATAAACTTGATGAATGCAAGGATAGCTTCCCACATGCCTCAGATAACGAGAAGAGTTTTGTTTGGATTTCTTCAATAGGAATATCTTTATCCTGTAGATTCTCTTTGATTTTTTCTCCTTTACAAAGCATTTCGATACTGTCAGTTATTAACTATAATTCGATGTTTTATAAAATATTCTTCTGAAATTAACCTTTTGTAAATCATTCCAAGTAGCCATATCAGATTTGTATTTTTCGATTCTGTCAGCCAGATCTTTCTGAATGTTTGTCACACGCTCTTTAGCATGTTCGAACTCCATGACGGCCATAGTCATTTCATTTTTCTTTATAATCTCTACTGAAGCGTCCAGTTCTTTTTCGTAATTCTTCAAAGCATCTGTCATGTTTTTCAATAATGTTGATAATACCTTATAACGATCCTCTGCATCTTCCAGTTTTTCCAACGGGTATTGCTCATCAAATGATAGAGCTTCTTCAATGTTATCAATATTAGAATATACCTATAATGACAAGCCTCCAAAACGAAAATGAATTCGATGATTCCTTACCACGTTCATATTACTTTCCGTCTCATCTGGTGGAATAACGAGCGGCAACGGTTCTTTCTCTTCTTTTTTGTTCTCTGCGGCAGAAGTCTCGATAATCTGTTCTGCGCTGGAAGGTTCGGAACCTTTCTCTTCTAGCATTTGCTCATCTTCCGTTGTATAAAAATCTGTTGCATTTCCGTGAGCCTCCATTGCTGAAAATGGGTTGAACAAATTCTGACGAGGATGGTTTACCTAGCGGTCCTAAACTGCTCACACTAGTGCGATCAGGAGAAGTTTTGATTGGTGTAGCATTAGTGTTCACTCGAGAACTCTCTAATGCTGTCAATGCAGCTTCTACTTTAGCCACTTTATCAAACAATTGTACCAGGGTCAAATCTCTTCCATCAGACGATTTGCCTGGTAAGTTGGAATGGCAAGATGCTGCTCTTGCAGACAAAGAAGAAAGTTGTTTGTCGCGATCGAGGAGATCCTTTCTCGTGGCCTGGAATAAACAATTGAACACTTCGATAATGTTACGATAAACCTTTGCAATTTCAGGATCAGTCAAATTTCTAGATACAAGTTGATCGATAACTTCATCCATAGCAGTCACATCTCGGAGAAGCGCATCATATTCTGGTAAAATGGGATCTAACACTGATCGGTGATCTTCAATGGTCATCTCCATCTACAATGCAACAATATAATAACTCAAATAGAATTAGAAATCTCACTTTATCAACAATATCGCAAATCTCATCTAGCTTTTCAATATCAGCATGAGATTGCAACTCCATTCGTCCACTATTGGCAATCCTTCTGCCGTCAGCGAGAACACGATCGAGGATAGGTCGGGCTGATTTGAGGAAGCCTTCCGCAGACTTGAGAAATATAGTATCATCACAAAGTCCAGATAGTTTTCACTTACTTGTATCCTATTACTCCATTGTGTGACAGATGATACAGGCTTTGACTCAAAATCCAAAATAGTGTTGGCTTTCTTGAAACTACTCTCCAACGCAGATACCTGTGCAGATTTCATTGAGAGAGAGAAAACTATTGAGAATGTTACTTGGCTATGGAAAGGTTGCTGAGCATCAATATCGTCTAAATACACGGCTGATGAATCATCCTCATTTTGAGGATTCACAAGGCGGCTCTCGAGATCTTGCCACTTTTTGTTCACACCAGAAATGAGTTCACCGCTGGCCAATCTAGGATTTGCAGCTGCCAGCTGACGTGCCCTTGAAGACAAGCGGTCTCTGTCACCACGGAGAAAACGTAATGTGGAAGCAATCTTGAATTAAAAATATATATTACGAATTAAATGACGAGAATACTTCAGAAGGATCAGAATTATCAACGTTACTTAATTTCGACATCAAATTGCAATGAAGTTGGTCCAGTTGTAGCAATTGCTCATCCTCATCAACGACCATTTCCTTAAGCGATACGCGACACTCATAAACAAACAAACTGATGCGAACCTGCACAGTCTTATTAAGACCATCTAATCTATGTTTGATCATATCAGCGAATCTTCTTTTTTCTAATGTTAGGTTTTCATTTACATGAACTCCGTTTTCACGAAGCACACGTTCAGTATCTTCCAAAATCTTCAGAAGATTCTCATTACGATTGAAATGACTAACAATTTCTTCAACTGATTTCTCATCCAAATCCTGGAAATCAATAAGTTATATAGTATTATGAATGATTCACTACTTTTTCCTGTTTAGAAAAGTCATCCATTTTTTGTTCAATGTCAGATAGGAACTGGTCAACACTCTTGCTTTGCTCCTCGAGCTTTTCCTGGAGGTTTACACAATCTTCAAGGCGATCTACAGAGCCTTCCGCTCGCTAAAGTTTGTTCTTGTTCAGTTCACGAATAACAAAAAATACCAGTCCCAGCTCTGTGCTCTTCTTTTTCGCATGGTGTAACTTCTCTGATACTTTTTGTGCGGTTTCTTTATCAAGTAAGCCATTCTGAAAGTAATTCTGTTTTGTGAAAGCAGAAAGTTATGAACCTGGATGAGATCTTGCTTTCCTTTTTCTAAAGCTGGTAAATCATCTTCAATTTCTTTCACCTGTCTGAAGAGTCTTCGCGCCTCTAATAATGCGTCAGGGCAGGTGGATACATCAATACCTTTAATACAAATATAATTTTTGATTGTAAACTGACACCACCAGTTAAATCGTCTAACGCGTTCTCTACGTCAGATAAGTTTCGCAATGTCCGGTCTAGGCGCTCTGAGAAAGATTTGGGTTGCTTAAATTCACCGAATTGCTCCTTTAAGCTAGTGAACATTTTCTAAACGGAGTTTCATAGTGTGATCACGATGTAAAGCGATGAATACCTTTGAGTGATCTCGTTGTGCTTGCATACGTTCATTATTTTTCTTCTCGTCATCATTAAGCCAAGACGATAATTCATTGAGAGTTTTCTCCCATAGCTCGAATTCTTTAGAGAGCACCTGGAAAGAAAAAAAATTGAAAAAGGAAAACGCAAAACACAGCATGCTCTTAGAAATATTGTTAAGATATAAATGATGAAACACTATGTCAATTTTATAAATTATAAGATCAGCAAACATGCAAGCACATCAATCCCTAACTTACTTGTACCAGGTTTCCACTTTCAAAAGCAGGCTATAAAGCAATAAGCGATAATTAAAACGTTTACCATTTCATAATTTTGACGAGAATAAGAATGCATCAGAATCAATTTCTCACCTTATATTCTTCCGGCACATCCAGAGCACAAACATCTGCTGCTCGACGTGAATGTAATAAACTTTGCATTACACCAGCCCACGATTGGAAGGAGCTCATTTTTTGCTCAAAATGTTCACATTCTTTCACAGCCTGAACAAATTGATAAATAAACAGAAAATTACATTTTCATACCTTTCCCAGTTCAACCACTCTGCTTTCTGCTCTCTTGGCGATCTTCTCTCTGGTATCACTCAACCTTGCATAACTTTCTCTTACGAACGATTCATCCATGGAAGCAATAACACTCTCCAATTGATCTTCTTCTTTCACTTTGTCAAGTAAATTTTCAAGATTCTGAATGAAGAAACGTAGAGAGATTATGAAAAAACAACTTACGTCTAGATGTTCGCAACACTCTTCAGCATCAGTAGCTGACTCGCTAGCGATTAAAGTTTTCTCCAATTTTTCCAAAATACGTTCTTGATTACTTAAAGCTTCTGAAAGAGTATACGACAATACAAAACAATGTAGCAGTTTGTTCAATTATAAAATGAAGACTAAGTCACCGCTCATGTGAGTTGCCAGAATAAAACAAACAAATATTTGAACAAGAACTCAGAGATATTCATCCCCTCAAAACGAGATTTCGTCAAAAAAAATTGTTTTCGTTTAAAAAAAGAATGTAAGAGTTCAGTGATAATCTCAATAGGATTTCAGTGGCGAATAAATAATATAAATAAGCAAAATGGTGTGTAAACAGGGGAGAGAACATGTGGTATGGATGAAACTATTCCCAAGTGTCCAGAGCTTATAAATGAGAAACTTACTTTGCACTGTTCGACGTTGCTCCTTCTTGGCGCAACTTATTTGATCATCGATTGATTCACCCAATTCTTTCCAACCTGTAACAACAGCCAAAACGCGAGCTCGATTGGTGCTAATTATCTGAAGAAGGAACATCATGATATTCATACAATTCTCATTTCTTGCCTCTTCTGCTACGTTGTCATCTAAAGCTAGCATTTTCTCGGTCGCTCTCTCTGCTTCTTTCTTTTCGCCTTCTTTATTCTGTAACTCTTTGCGAGTATTTTGTAAATCTTCGATTATAACAGCTAGATCATCATCTCTCTTGGAAATAACTTCAACATCTTTCTTTATTCTGCAAAACTATGAGTATGAAATGAATTATCGTTGGATTACCTATTCAAAGTGTTTTCTGCCAAAGAAAGTTTATCGAAAGCTGCAACAGTTGCTCTTTTCCTTTCTTCCATTTCTGCTCGTCTAAAACTATTGTTTTCAAATGGCTTGTGACAGATTTAACCACCTTGTTTCAGCCTTTTCAACGGTATCACTAGACATGTTTTCCTGTCTTGCTTTTTGTACGAGTTTCATACTTCGTTGAATATCCGCATCTAAGGCTGTAGGGTCGCCAACTGAAGACCACTGACCATCCAGTTCTTGCACAATAACTTCCTCATCTTCAGCAATCGTCGGCTGCACATTTACTTATAGTTTCAACTTGTTGAAAAGACAAACCTGATGAGCAGCTTTCATAGTTTCGATTTTTTTCCTCACAATATCTAATCCTTTCTTCAAAATTGCTCGCCGAACCAAGTCTTTCTCGACAAACTCGAGATTAGAGGTCTGAAGAAAGAAAACTGAATATTACAATAACTATTTCAAAGAATTACGTGTATATCTAGTTGTTGCTCCAGTTTTACCAGTTTAGATCCTTGTTCGAATGTAGGTAGTAGAGTGAGATCGTTCATCTGTCTGAAAGTTTTTTTTCCTGTGAATAAGCGCTTATCTCACATTACTCACTTATTGGACAGCTCAATCCATTGTTCGATTGTTTTAGCTATTGCTATTTCTTCGCTGTCATCAACATGTCCAGTCAAGATGTTCATGGATTCGCTGATTTTCGTTACAATTTTTGCCCAGCCCTAAGTAGCCGTATGAGTAAGAGAAACTCAAACTCAACTCACTTTGGCAAAGTTATCGAATGCATCGTTGGCAACTTTCAGTTGTTTTGAAGTTAATGATGGGCTCAAGTGTAAGTGTTCAAGTTCTAACTGCAAGCGAGAAACCTGGAGCACAAAAAACAAAAAATAAAGTTTCACGAGCTAATTGACAAACCTTTCCTTCTTGATCTTTGATTTCCATTAGTTTCTCTTGGCATATGTTAATCATTTTTTTAATTTGATCAGATTTTCTTGAAGCCGAGAAAGTCTCAGTCCAATGACGTAGATGCTCCATTTCGCCGTTAACTTTGTTAACATGATGGACAAATCTATCGATAAGCTGAAAAAAACTTAAATAATACAAATCCTTAATATCTAGCTTACGTGTGTTCCAGTATCTTCTCCATCTGTGTCAGTTGTTTCTGTTAGTGATTCAGGTATAGTGTCAATAGTAGTGACTTGAAGAGTCGACTATAAATGGAAAATATGAAAGTATCAATTATCAATGGCTAACCGTTGCTTGATCAGGCACAACAACACGATCTGCTCGAATAGATTCCTCAATAGTAGAAGAATCATCTCCAGATCTCTCTACATTCTTGAGTTGTTTAATATCTGCCTTCCCACTACGAACCAGCTGTAAACCACAGTTATTACGTGACCCGAATAAACCATGAGAACTACCATTTTACTCTGTTCTTCGATTCTGGCAACTAAGTTATCCCATCTTTGAGTTACAGCGTCTAATCGTTTTCGTGCTTCGTTGGCAGCTTGTCCGTTTCCGCTTCCTTAGTATAAATTTCAAAGATATCATTTAAAATTATCATTACCTGCTTCTAATCTCGCGACCAGCTCACAAGATAACTGAGAGAGTCGCACAAACTGACCATGTTCTTTTTCAAAAGCCGACTCTGCTTTTTGTAACTTTCGGACCTGAAAAGCCTCGGTGTAAAATTTATCAACAATGTTAAGCACCTGTTCCGCGACTTGTTCACTGTCATCTAAGTGATGAACCGATTTAATCTCCATTAATTCCTGAATTAAAGAAAATAATGATATAGGCTATTCTTTTTGATCACAAATACTTGTTCACGCTCGCAAAGCCATTGATCTAACCGCTCATATACTTGACCTGTTTGTGCTACGATTTCGGCTAGACCATCCAGCTGGTTGGTCCTCGTTTCAGCCCAATTGCATATCGCCTTCCAACGTTCACCTATTGTAGCCATGGCTATCTCAAGAGATGATACCGATTCCTCAGCCGATTCTCCATCATCAACCTGTAATAAAAACATTAAAAGTTATCATAAATGCTCTTATGTTTACCACGGCTACGAACGAGTTAAGTTGCAGAATGATGGGTTGGAAATCATCAATTTTAGTTTGAATTCGACTATGCTCTTCCATCTGTTCTAATATGGCTTCTGTTTCTGTTGCTATTGAGCCAGTAGAGCTTATTTCTGTTTCCATTCCTGACAGCCATTTACTTATAGATGATAACTGCCTAAATATCAGAAGGAATTAAAAATATAGAATGCTAGATCACTTTTGTTGCAAATAATTCAATTGTGTTTGAAGTTTAGTCTGCCGATCTAATGCTAGTGCTCGTAACTCTTCCCATCGTTGATTAACAATATGTAGTTGCCCCTGAATTGCATCCCGTTCTTCATCAGATTCAGCTTTGTTAGAAAGCAATTGGCCTCTACAGCAAACAGTGCATAAACAATAAAAAAAAGTAGAATGGATACCGATGCAGAACACGTCCTACTGTTTCCTGACTTTCTGTTAATGAAGACATAAATAACTCAAATTCTTTAAACTGGGTGCGCACGATGCCCACTTCCTTCAAGTCAATTTCCGGAAGTAAAGACAATTCCTCTTCGGCTTCTAATAACCAAGTGAGAACCTTCAAAATAAAACTGAACGTTATGCCGTAAATAGTACGAAACCTGTTCGAGACAATTTTCAAACTCCCTTGTCATGGCCTCCTTTCGCTCTCTCCTACTGCGACCACTTTTCTGTGATGAAGACGATGATTTTCGTGACCGCACCTCTACGCTCTAAAATAAGAAAAAAAAACGATGAAGCTCGATTATTCGAAAGAAAAACCTCGCTCGGTTGATCAACGCTTTGCTGAGCTTTCGTTCTCGCACTCTTCACTTCAGATTGTCCAATGATATTTTCCGGTTGAGCAATAGAATGAGAGGTGGATGGCATGTCCATGGAGGTTGTTTGCGCAAAAGATCCGAACCTCGCTTGCTGTTCACTAGATGACGAGGCGCCAGGTTGTTGCACATATTGCTGTTGATGCATTAAATCTAATTGGGCATTGTGATCTTGTTCTAAAAATATCAAAAATTATCCAAATTAGAAGTTGTTCCAACCTGACAAATGATGTTGGCCATCATGTGCACTAATGAAAACAGGGCCCGTGGACATCATTTCCTAAATGAACTAAGTAATTTCATTTCGTATACTAACAAATGGAACATCAGCAAAATTTATTTAATTAAAATAACTTACGTTATTTAAAGCTATAGACGATTTACCAAGAATCGTAAGGTACAATGTCATCAAATAGCAAACAACCGAACGCGAATCCAAATGCTCGCTTTGCAGGTCTGAAACGAACGACGAAATACATTATTATGAGTTTAAGAATAACACAAATTTAGAATCTGCGAATGAAGAAAAACGCTTAGCAATGACTCATAAGGAACTGTCCATATATAAAAGAAATGCGAAAATCAATGAATGATGTCGCAAAACAGTATTTTTATGATATCTAATGGTTTCGAAAGTTTAATGAAGAACAAATGCCTTCATCAGATTAATGATCTTTTGTATATATATATAGATGTGGATGTACAAATATCAAGCGTTTCAGACATTAAAGAGCAATAGAGAGTTGTATGTAACAGGGAGGAAAACAGAAACGCTCAAAAAGAATCAGGAGTCCTGACATTCGCAAGAAAATGTCACAATCAATTTAAACATTTTTATTAAAAAGCATTTCCACTAAGGGCAACTGGGGCAGATGAGAATTTGCGCGTATAAGCGACATGCTTACACTTACAAACTTCCTAAGCCAATTTCTTAACATGTATTGCCAATTTAATATTAAGAAATAAGATTATAGCGTTTGCGAATATCGAAAGATATCAACTGGAGAAGAAGACAATGGATTTATGATGCATTTAATACTCAATAGATAGATTATGTTCAAAGCATAACTACATATAAAAAACATTCATATACACATATATATATTTATATATACGCGTAGTGCATTCTCTAAGTGAGCCCGAGACTTGAAGTGTTAGAGCTACCGAACAAATGCAAACAACTGAACTTGAACGAGCGGCACGTTGAAGCTTAAAACATGAACAGCTTTCGTGTGAACTAGACTGACCAATAACCATTTACAGATATTTGCGAATATTAATTAAAGAAATACAAGAATTCATGAACTTTCCATCTTTTCGTGATTAGATATAGGCAATCGATAAACGCACTGTGGATTACTGGAACCAAAACAGGCCGAGTTGACCTCTAAGATATGAACGGAGCTACTGACATTTAACAATGACCGTTTATAGGCATTTTCACATTAGAGAATTTGTAGAAAAAAGCTGCGAATCATAATGTCGGCACATAAAAGAAGATTTACCATGAATCGACAACAACTCTCATATCAACGATCCTAAGTGATCTACCAATCTGTAGTGATATCTAACAAAAGCATACTCTCATTATCATAATCATCAACACTGTTATTATCAGCGCCGAAAAATCCTTTATTGGCTTTTAACCGATTTTCTGTTCTGCAACGTTGCGAAGAAAACGGCAAAGGAATGAATGTGATTGAAAACTAGTGCGACTGATACTGGAGGAAAAGAAAATCGAGAGAAAACGGGGGCGTGACCCTAGACAAACCCAGTCAGGCTGGAAGACAGAATTCTACCACATATGTAATGAAAACTCGCATTACGAAAACCTTTCAAAATTAATTCTAGAAAAGGGAACAAGAGAGCGACTGTATTCTTCCCCAGTCTGATTGTTAAAGTGTCCCAGACATGCGCTATTGAAGATTTGTCAGAAATGGAACTTACTTTTGACTGTCAGAAAGCGTGGCACTTTGAATTCTTTTTCAGCAACTGAGAAAGCGTTATCAATCCTTTCACTGGCGCTCCATTCAGATATCTTGCGCAAATGGACTAACTTCCGGCTGTGAACGAAGTTTATAGTTAAAGAAACAAACAATTCTATCCAACTCAAAATTATGTAGTAAACAGTTGAAAGCATGTCCATCTCTCCAAGATGAAGTGAAATCGCTAACAGACACTTCTTCGTAATCTTTTGTCACTTCCAAACACCACTGCTTTATTCCTTCTGTCACCTATTGAAGCAAAAACAAATTCAACATGTCAAACTGAATAGAGGGCTACCTTCTCATCTCTTATAGCTTCAGGAGCAAAACGTTTCCAAAACGCTTGAACAAGATTCCACCACACAGCAAGTATAGCCTTTTGTAGTCCTTCTACGAACTCTTGACAACTTGTCTTGGTGTCATTAAGCAATGATAAAATTGTGGCACAGTCTTCAGTGCGGGATCCTGTTAAAGTCTGAAGAGTATATGATAACCAGAATGAAAATTAGACATTTCTACCAAATTTGTTCCTGTTACAATTTCTAAAACACTAGCAATGTGCCTGAGATCACATAAGTCTTTGAATTCCTTCAGCGGCTCGTTCAAAATGAGCGAGTTTCCCCATTTCATGTAAACATGTTCTTGGATTTCAAACTTATCATCTGAATAAGGAGTTTTCATATTTTATTCAAGACAGTAATAACAGAACAACCGCATCTATAGGTTAATAAAATAGAAATGAAAACGTGAGTGATTCGTTAAAGCGATATGCAAATTAGTTTGCAATGTAGCAACTGTTGTTTGAAATTACGCGCTCAATTCAAATTTAGCAGGTGAGCTAGAAGAGCAGCATGGATTATGCTGGAGTTTTGATCATGTTTTGTGTGTTATTCGATGTTGCAGCAAACGAATAGTTAATTCAATTGCATGATTGAACGAAGAAACACTTTTTGTGAACATTTGAAGAAGGTTAGACTGAAACGCTAGTTAAGGAAGAGGACAGAACAATCACAGACCATATCAATGAGGAATTACATTAACATGCAAACTAGAAATCACCTCTGTCGGATTTTTTTTCTTTCTTTTCGTCTCTTTTCGATTTCGCAGAAGTTCCTCCAGAAAACAACATGTTATTTCAGTGAGAAAAGATAATATTCTTCGTTCTATATCACCATAACCTAAGAGAGCTTTGCATACGAAAGAGAACAAATCGAAGCGTTAACGATATTCCATTAAGACAATAACATTGGGAGCTCTTGGATTACGAGGAACGAATGCTGAGTAAATCAAAAGTATGGAGAGTATGGACGAGGATTGTGTGGAAAATGAGACAACCAAGGATTATTGCAGTGGACCTTTCTTCACTTCCAGCCCTGAGGATCAGCTGTCCGTTTCCCCTTTATCTGTTCTATTACAAAATACTTTACAATCAGATTGCCTCTTCATCCACGTTATGCCGCAACTAAGCAACTGTGATAACCTTAGGCATAACTCCCTCAAAAAAAATAACAATATACACTCGGACTAGCTGTCCTATATTATAGTCTCCTCCCCATCCACAAAGAACAAATACAACAAAAATTATGCAAATTTATTCATTGTAAACTAATCACTTGGTAAAAAAATATAGCGCAGTAAACATTTACCGGGAAACAGCTAATAATTAGTCAAACGACATGAAACCTACACCAATATAAATAAAGTAAAAATCTAATCCAAATGTTGGTTGACGTTGTCTCTGATGGCTGAAATAAGCAAAATTAGAAAAATGTTGGGGCCGAGCCGGGGATCGATCCCGGGACCTCTCGCACCCTAAGCGAGAATCATACCACTAGACCACTCGGCCTACCTAGGGACTCTCAAAACCAGAAAACATTCCAAAAACTAAGTCTTAATCATTTCCAAACACATCATACTCTCAAGTTCAACTTTCAACACACTGAACGAAGTCAACGAACCGTTCTTAACAGCGTCAGCAGCCTTGCCGACTTTCTCTTCCAATCCACTTTGATGCTTAAGAACAAAAGGCCTCAAGAACCTGAAAAATATTATGAGATTACGCGAAAATAAAACCAGTAAGACAAACAAACACCGAATGATAACTTACTTGTGATAGATCTTATAAGCTCCGAGGGTTGATGGGAAATAGAGCCAGATAAGAAAAGCTGCCTTGAACAGCCAGTAAACGGGGAAAACGGAGAGAATTTGATGAGAGAAGAATTCAAGGACGCTAAGTACGGCAAAGACCACCCTAAAATATCAAATTGAAAGAATAAACAAAAATGCTGACAAACCAATAAGTCAACCATTGGGTGTCGTCATCTTTACGGTTGCTTTCGATAGCCTTGATACTGAAAATATGAAAGTGATACTGTCTTGCTATAGTTGTTTGTACAATGCTTCATAACTTTTTTTATCAACCAATAAACGAAAAAAACTTGCCTGCAATAAGCTGGATAGATGAATCCAATTGTGTTGCAGACGAGCTCAGCGAAATGTCCGAAGACAAGGTAAAAGGCTTGTAGTCCAAGTACACCTTTAAAACATCAGTACTAGAGACTAGAAGCTCCTAGATTAACTAACCAAGTACTATGTGAAGTCTCTTGACTCCAGTCTTCTGTTCTACAGTTTGCAAGACATTGGTGATAGGAGAAGGCTCATGAAGTCTCTTATCAACGTCATTCAAGAAGTTCTGGATTTGAGGAGGTACAGACATTCTAAAAGCAAAGAGTAAAGTAACGACGCTAACAGCTACCTAGCAATAGTCACATTGAAAACAAAGATAAATGCCAATCGAAAGAAGAAATAGTATTCAACACATCAAGAAGAAACTACATTTTGAAAACAACTTTAGGCGCCAAACTGTGTAACTGCGTAAGTTCGACATCAATCGATAATTGAACAAAATATTTAAATTGGATGCAGGTTACATTTCACCAAAAATTCAGGCTGGGTCAGGAGTGTCTCTGAACAACAAAAAGAAAAAAAGAAAATCGATAGACCGAGTCTGCATGTCGGAGCCAGAAAACATAGCAATTCCCGTCAAAGGAATACTGTTTTTCTGGAAGAATCGAATTGAATAAGGGGACAGAGTCTATTGAACGTAAAGCATAAAAAGAAACTTAAAATCTAAACTGAAGAAACGTAGAAGAGAACAGAGCTAGTGACTTGGCTAGTGTACGAAATAGATGGCACTAGCAGTTGCTGAGAGTAAGAGAGCCAGCTAGTCAGCCAGCCGCGCCGCATCCTGTTTACGAGATAGCACACAGAACTCAGCAACCAATTCAATAATACGCACAATACCGACAAGCACGTGGATTTCACGTGTTTTCGTGTTCGAATTTGATTGGGAAGAAAGAGAGACTTTGACTATCACGGACAAACCGCTGAGTGAGCTTATCACTGACAGTTGCAGTTTGGTAACGTCAAAAACTGCTGATAAGTAAGAAAAAATAACCACGGACACTGGAGAACCGTACAGTAGACTAGCCATAAACGAGAAGAAAGTACACCCTTTATTGTAACATAAAACAACATGGAACATCAGCCATGGAGATCAGAGAGGAGTGTAAAAACGTCTTCAAATGCGTTCTTTGGGCTCCATAATAACAACAGAGTTTCCTCTAATTACAACCATTCCTAGAGATACTGGCTCTCCGTTTCGTGGATACTCAATAGCGTCCTGCATTATGCGTTTACATTATCGAATAAATTATATATTAGTAATACCTCAACAACCATATTCATGAAGGGATCGAAACCACGAAGAACACCGGAGATCTTTCTATTTCCATTGAGTTTCAAATCCATTTCCTTGTCCATGTACTTCTTCAACTCTGGTGGGTGAGTCTTACTCATTTTTTCTGATTGATACTATCTGCAAGAAGAAATAAAGCATACTTCCCAACTACCGATTCTAAGAAAAGAATAAACAACAAATCAAACACACAGAGAGTAAAATAAAATTTCGAAAAACACTGACGCAACCCTTTTAATTTGAAGGAGAAAACGTAAAAATAGGAGCGCGCGTCTTTGCGTACTTCGAACACATACCGTAATCCGATTTTCACATCACGAATGGAGATTAGTAGAATGCAAGCAGACCTCTTGCAAATGTGAGTATTATTATACTATTCAACAATGCATTATTATGTTCTTTTATAAGAGCTGTTTTTGGAATAGGTTTATGAATTATGAGACTAGCTTAAAGCAAACCTGACCGATCACATGTCATGCCAAAATGAAATGAAAATTCAAACGTGAACGTGAAATGCCACGTGGGGTTTTATAACAACAAAACTAAGAATTCATTGTGAAGCTAACACAGTCTGGATCAACGTTGATTGAGGTGAATCAAATAAATGACAAAGTCATCAAAGAAAAGCTCGCGATCTCAATCGGAAGCTCCAAAATGTTGTGATCCAAGTAAAGATATATCAACAGTGGATTGTTATCATGGTCTACTGCCTCGCGCTGATATAGTTGTGAGTTCTAAAATACTATTTTGTTTCCACACAGTTGAATAATTAAGAATATGCTGAAAGAGAACGGTGACTACCTTGTACGATCAACTGAGCCTGTGGTAGGCGAATCCAGAAAGTATGTGGTCTCTTGTATGAAAGATCAAAACTTGGAAGAAGCTGGGGTTCAAAACAATCAGAAAGAAAACATTGGTTCTTCACTATTTTCTAGATAAAACACTTGATCTTACATAATATCAACAGCAAATGGATTGGAGGAAAGAAAAGCTTCGAAACTATTTTTGATTTGGTTTCCTACTACCATGGCAAAGATATTCCATTGGCTTCGGCGGTAAGTTGTTTTTGATTTTTATCGTATTATGTTTGTTCTACAGAGCAGTGAAGTATATTTGAAAAGAGCTATAAAGAGGCAAAGTTGGGAGCTAAATCCGAATGATATTCGTCTGACTAAGAAGTTAGGAGAAGGAAATTTCGGTGAAGTAAGAGTATTTTCAAATGCTGAAGATAACAGTTCTAGGTTCACGAGGGTATCTTCATGTTGCAAAACATGAAAATTCCGGTAGCTGTTAAGTTAGTAAGTGTTCATGAGCCTAACCTATCTTATAGCCTATGTTTCAGGCTAAACTAGAACAGTTGAACAAGGAGCAAATAAATGAAATCATGACCGAAGCTCGACTTATGAGAGATCTCATGCATGAGAATGTTGTTGATTTTTATGGAGTTTGTGCTGTTCAAGAGCCACTGATGTTAGTGATGGGATTAGTGAGTGTAATACTTTGAAATAATTTACTTGTAATTTTCAGGCTACTCATGGATCGTTAGAGAAGTACCTTAAGGAAAACGATGTACGGCTATCAACTAAAGATGAAATTGCTCTTCAAGTTTTTCATGTCAACTAAGATGTTCTTCGAGTCTTTTTAATTAAGGCTGGGTGGGGAGTGGAATACCTACATAATATCGGGATTCTTCACCGAGATTTGGCATGCCGAAATTGCTTGTATGGAGATGGAAAGGTCGGTATCAGGTTACCTATTACGAAAATGGCTCACAAACATATTTCAGGTGAAAATTGCCGACTTTGGATTATCAACATACGGAGCCAGTTATCAAATGGACCCTCACAAGGCTGCTCCTATCAAAGCATTGTCACCAGAAGCGATTTCAACCCTTATTTATACTACTAAATCAGAAGTATGGGCTTACGGTAAAAGCAAAAGTAAAAATGTCTACTCAAAGTTATCTCAGGAGTAATGTGCTGGCAGATTTATATGAATGCCGAAGAACCTTACACTGGCATGACTCATAAACAATATGTTCCAATGATCAAAGAAGGACACAAACTGTCATTTCCTGGAGATGCTAATATTCATATAGCCAAGCTCATCAATGTGAGAATATCTGCCTTGTTTCTTTTCTCACAGTTTACTTATTGTTTAGGATAGATGCTGGGCTTTCAGCCCAAATGATAGACTAGATATGAGACTGTTAGTTAAACACATGCACAGGCTAGTTCCACACGCTCGGTTACCCAAAGCAGTGGAACGGCCGAAGTATCAGTGACTCAATGAATTCAAATAAAACTGCTTTAACTTCAACTTCTTACCTCACACACCTTTTTAACATAATTTGGTTATTATTTGGGCAGTGTACATGGGAAACTACAAAAATTGAATATAAAAAGTTTATGAAGAAAGTTTCTTCCTATGAACGAACGAGCCTGTCAGTTGAACACATGCACAGACTAGTTCCATAAGCTCGGTTACCCAAAGCAGTGGAACGGCCGAAGTATCAGTGACTCAATGAATTCCAATATAACTGCTATATCAAGATATTCAATGAACTACACGAAAACTAAAAAAAATTGGACAACAGCATAGTCTTCGCCAACTATCATTTACTTGAAACTGTCGGATGACGCATGAACAAGGCACAGGAACCAAGAGTTCTGGAAATCCTGCAGAAATGGAGATTCGTTTCGTGAGAAAATCGCTCGAAGCTCCTAATGTGTCCAACGATCTACTGGTTTATGAAATGTGGATAGGACAGATATATTAATCAAAGTAGGAAACTTTGGAGAGAATACGTGTGAGAACGCTCCATCTCAAGACAAAGTTTCTTCCGACGAAGAAAACGGAAACTTGCGGAAGTTAAAGAGCGAATAAGGGCATGTGTGAAAGACAAACAAACAAATAATCAATTGATGAGATAAACAGGAATAGCGTGATGATGACAAATAATCCTCAAACTACATAAATAATACCAAATAAGCATTATTGGGATAGTTTCTGACTGATCAATAGCTGATCTTGGCTACAAGGGAAATCAGCCGATGATCATCTGATGAGAAATTTTGAAAAATGGCGGTAAAACAAGTTAACATAGGATGTTGACCATACGTATAATCAGTATAAAACTATCTTTTCTTTGAATATCTGTCTCTCGTTTCCTTTCTTTTCCTTCCGAACTTATTTATTTAACTTTTATCTAAAATCCCCGATTGGCGCCAGTCTCATCCCCCCCTTAGGCTAAGAATTAAAAAAAATATCTTTTTGGTTTCTTTTCTGTGTTTAGGGATACTGAGTAACACCGTAGCAATTCCAGGAAGCAGATCCTCAGAATTAAGTTTTACTTTCATTTTTTGTCCCCCTTTTTGCTGGCCGGCATTTACCTCCCCTTTTTATTTTTTACTCGTCATATATTTTCCCTTGTTACAATTATTAATGTTTTTATTCGTAGGCATTTATTCAGCATGGATGCAGAACTCGACATGGACGTCGAGTAGGATCTCCCCCCCCCCCTTTTTTTTTCAGTCCGCTGGGATAACAAGGATCAGAGGGCGAGAACAAGGACAGAACGAGGACAGAACAAGGATTTTTTTAATGTTTTAACCCATTTTTGTGTCCTCACTAACTTAGCATGAATGAGTTGGCCAACTCTCCCCCCTTTTATGTTTTATTTAATTTTGTAAAAAAAATTTGTTCATGCAGACTCTGAACCAGTCGTCACAGTAGCTTCGGCCGAAAACGACTGGGGACGAGTCTGCAGAACAAAAAAAGTAAGTTTTCAAATTATTATTCTTTTAATGTTTTTTTTGTTTCAGAAAAAATTGGAAGAGTAGAGAGAGTGGAGGCGGTTGGGCGGTTACAATAATTTTTTTCAAGTAAGTATTTGGTTGTAGTTGAGTAATCAGTAACCTTTTCAGAATTATAAAAAAAAGAAGAAGATAGGCAGAACAGGAGGATCGCAGGAACCTCAGTTCCGGTAAGTTCAATCATTGTTTTTTTTTTGTTATTTTCTGTTTTCAGCACAACAAAGTGCGGCTTGGGTGGGAGCTCAAACTCCTCATCCTTAGCCGAGCTGGTGGCCCAATCAGCTGCCGGATTGGTAAGTCAATCTACAAAAAAAAGTTTTTAATTTTCAAATTTCAGAGAGTAGGTGCTGTACCTGAGCAATTTTCGTTTCCTTTTTTTGTTGATATTGATTTTTATGTTTTGTTCCCTCCCCCCTCCCCCTATGTCTTGCAAGACTTTCCCCTCCTCATTATTTTTAACTGTTTTTTTCTTTTTTCTTTTCCTCTTTGCTCATAATAATAAAATTATTTTCTTCCTTTCAGTTTTTTTGTTTTTTTTCGATACGGATTGTCGTTCTATGAAACCAATTTGTGTTTTAGATGTCTTGTATCCAAGAACAAATAGGATAAATGTTTTTGAGATCAAAATCAATTTATTCATTTGAGACGGAGCAGGAATACTCTTCTCCAATGGAGACTACTGGCAGGATCAACGACGATTCACTTTACAGACCTTGAGAAACTTTGGAGAGAGCAAGTTGATGAGAGGTAAGATCTGACCAGAAATTCCGACTTCAACTGTGTTTAAGAAAAGAAGCCATACGTTCAGGAGAACATATAATCGTTGATGAAGGAACTGATTATGTCGACGCTTATATGAAGAAAATAGAAAACGAAAAGGAGAACCCTAGCACCGGCTTTACGTGAGTTCAAAGTTATGGTTCTCAAAGAATGGTCAGATGTTCAGAGAACGCTCTCTTTTGATAAACTTGTTAGATATGTGGATTGCTGGACAAGAGACAACCACAACGACTCTGATGTGGGGCTTGATTTTTCTACTCAATCATCCTGAGGTAACCCATCCGTTTAACATATGATTCGTCTTTCTTCTAGGTGACTCAGAAAATAAGAAAAGAGATTCAAACAACTACTCAGCACATCTTAGCTCAACAGCATCATCATTCAAGGAAATACACAGAAGGTCTTCTCTCTTAACAATCAACTTATTCCGACAAGTCCGAGAGAAAACCAATATCGGT